CTGCTATACAGAGAAAAACCACTAGAGGGCCCACCTGCAGGTATATATATAGGTAATGCACCCATTACATTACACAGCAGGTAAGAAAATACATCAAATTTTATTCATACATCAAAAAATACATTGAAAACATCAAATTTTATTTGCAGGTTCATTTGCACATACATAAGTAAACCTGCAATGGCAATCACGGATGGGCAGATGAAACGACGCTTCAAGCTGGGCAGGAATTTCCCTAGGAACGTCTTTATGTCTTCAACGCATTTCGAGCGAAGGCCAATAGACAGACCCTACGGTGCTATGAATGGGAATGACAGCTGGACAAGAAGATCAGACGTTGGCAAGCAGGCAAAGACAGTGAGGGAGCAAGTAGGGTCGCACGACCGCTCTGCACGGCCCGGGGCAACTACAGCAGCCAGGGACCTTCCAAATCAATGATGGCTCTCAGTATTTAAAAGGGCAAGCTTGCTCTAAGGCGAATAAACACCGAAAAGAACAGCACAAGGTACATCACTGAACGGGGAAGGAAACAACCACAATGTGAGCAACTGTAAAGGCAGCTGTATTCAGATTCCTAATGGGCTTTGCTGGCAGGAGAAGAATAGTGATGCGTATTGGTAAAGTGGCATTATTAGGTTAAGGGTCCTGAAGGTTTTGGGATGTATTGAGAAGGAAGTAAGAAACAACAAGCACTGTATACAAACTATGTATGTAAAACGTAAGTCAAGGCAAAAAAACACAGATACAGCACATCCCTGCGGTACATGCACATTTCCTATATTTGAATCCCCTCGCCCTCAGACAAAATACCGTTTTTTCTGCCAAAAATACACCCAGCTTTTCATTTCCCATTGTGGGTTGACAACACACAGCATTTCTGTAAACTGAGTGGTGTCAGCCCCTGCCCAGTGTCTTTTGCTAAACTACCCAGCCACTCCCACTCAAGGCTGTTTGTTTGCCCAAAGCAGGGCTAAATGTAGAAAACAACTACCCACCCGGTCCTGGACATCGGGAGATAGGAATTCCACGCCCCTGCTGCCCCTCTACTCCCTGCTGTCTCAAGGTCGGGAGGTTCTGAACCAGGGGTAGGCAACCTTGGCACTCCAGTTGTGGGAAAATGACAAGTCCTATGCATTGCATGACACTGACAGAGGCAGAGGCATGGTGGGATTTGACGTTTCACCACAGCTGGAGCTAACCAAGGTTAAAGACCCTTATTCTAAGTTGCCTCTTTGAGATAACACAGGCAGAGAGCACAGGACAACTCTGAATTGTTTAACAAAAAATATAAGAAAAGTCCATTGTTAGGGATTACATACAGTTTAAGAATGAAGGCATGGGGAGAGAAGTGTAATAATAATCGTAATAATAATAATTATAATAACAACAACAACAACAACAACAACAACAACAACAACAATATTATAAGTAATATTATTATTGTTGTTGTTATTATTATTTAATACTACTACTACAAATAATAATAATGTTGTTGTTATTATTATTAATAATAATAATAACAACAACATTATTATTATTTGTAGTAGTATTAGTAGTATTAAATAATTATTATTATTATTATTTTTATTATTATTGCTTTGCAGACAGGTGTGAGTTATACAGAGATATACTGTACAAAACCCAGCTTCCCCTGCATCCAATCCTATAAGAACGTGCACTTCTTCCCTTCAGCCACTAGATGGCGCTGTGCATACAGCAAGTATATGATCATCAGCCCCAGAAGAAACAGACATGACACAGGGATGGCGGGGATGCCATAAATAAAACAACTCCCTTCTTCCCTCTCCCCTGAAAATTGCTGTGAGATATACACACTGACAACTAATTATCACTGTTGTCAGCTTTGCCAGAGGAACTCATTTGTTTTTTCAAGACTTGGGCTGATCCCAACAGGTATACTATATTATCTGTATCTCACTATTACTATTTTGTTACAAATTAAACATAACGGATGACATTTATCAAAACTGGAGCAGACAGAGTCTGGTGCAGTCACTTATAGTAACCAATCAGCATCTCTCTTCAGTTTGTACAGTTAAGCTTTGCAGATGAAAGAGAGTAGCTGATTGGTTGCCATGCACAGCTGCTCCAGATTCTGTCTGTTCCAGTTTTGATAAATTCTCCTGAATGTTTTTTGTGCACACACGGTAAAAGCTTCATTTTAAAGAATCCTCTGCTGTCCCTGTCACCGGGGTCTCTAAAGTGGATGACCTTTAGTTTATAAAAGCATTGTGTATTATTAACAATTGCGATGAAATACTTGTTTTAACCTATTTTTTTTTTTGTATTCCAGTGCCGCTGATCTCCTCCAGCCTGTTTCAGCCAGTTCCTGTCTAGAAGCATTCGCTTCAATGCCGACTTAACATTATTGCTCATGCCCGGCTTCTAATACCAGGGCAAGAGGCAAGGGCGGCCCATGTCTGTGCAGTGTGTTAGGTGGATGTGACATGGTAACAGTGGTGGAGAATTGGGACTTTCCTGGCAGTATCACAAGGTATTCTTTCAAGCTGACATTTATTCTGCTTATATTTTGGTTCCTCCTTCATCAACGTGGTAATGCAATTTATAAATAAAACCTTTCCAATTTCATTGCAAAGCTTATTTTATATGTAGTGATGACATCACTGGGTGTCTGCCTTTCCCTACGAAATGCAGGCAGATCATGGCTGGTGGGAGGGGCCATACATAGCTTCCTGAAAACATCATAGCACCCTGCTACAGCACACCTCTCAAGAGCCCTTAGCCATGATGCAAGCAGTGGGCTGGCCCCTGGGATCAGTAATGCAAATATTAGAATGCCTTGATGGGTGGGTGTCAGTCTGGAGGAGTGGGCCCTGTATATACTGTGCTGTCAGATTGTATTATCTATAGGGCCAGCACAGTGGTGTAGTGGTTCGCCTTGCAGCATTGGGGGGTCCCCAGTTCAAAACCCAGTCAGGACACTATCTGCAAGGAGTTTGCATGTCCTCCCTGTGCTTGCATGGGTTTCCTCTGGGTACTCCGGTTTCCTCCCACACTCCAAAGACATGCTGAAAGGTAAATTGTCCCTGTATGTATGCATGTGAGATAGGGACCTTAGATTGTAAGCTCCTTGGGGGCAGGGACTGATATGAATGTGCACTGTAATGTATATTGTCAACACTATATAAAATACTACTAATAATAAAAAATAATCAGCTGTAAATTAGATTTGAACTAACAAAAGGTTAAATATCTAGAAGCATTGTATGTAATGGAGGGAAACTCAGTCTGTCCCTAGTCTTTCTATGGGGACAGACAAAGTTTCCCATCAAGTGGAAACAGAGAGAGAAGCTTGCACAGGCCAGTGGCCACTACTCAGACACATCTAGAGGTAAGACATCTTTTTATCATCATTTTTCGGTATGCTGTGTAAATGGGAACACATAACAAACACAGAGTGGTGGGTTTTCTCAAATTTGACTGCAAAAGTGGAAATACATTTTAAGTCGTATAGCATTGAGCAGAGTCCAGGGGTACAGATCAAACCAGGGATGCACCGATACTAGTAACGGTATCGGTGCCAATGCTGAGTATTTGTACTCGTCCAAGTACCTGTACTTGTACTCGTCCAAGTGCTCCGATGCCTAGCCCGATATTTCCGGTATCATGAAGCCGGGCAGCCAAGCCTTACATGCTGCCCGGCTTCCTGATTGGCCGAGAAACCGTCTCCATGCTCCCTCGTCACTTATAGCTGGTACCATGCAGACACACTTCTCTGGTGTATGACCCTGAGCATATAAGATGCCATCCAGTGCTCTGCCCCCTGTCCCTCCCTGTGACACTGACACAGTAACTGCAGTCCACACACAGTCCTCACCTCCTCACTGTGTTGCTGCAGAGTGCTGCTATTGCTGCTGGTGGGAACAGAGGATCCTCAGTGAGCTTGCAGTAAAAAACCGTGGCAGCTTCTGAGCTTCCCTTCCACCGTCCTCAGATTTCAGCCCCCAGCCTGTTACCCCGATATATTTTTTTTCAGTACTCGCCGATACGAATACTGATTCCGGAAGTCGCATTAAGGAAGCCAGGAGGTGTGTAATGACTTGCCGCCTGGCTTCCTGATAAGCAGGGAAGCCGTCTCCAGGTGACGAGGGAGCATGGAGCCGGCTTTCTGGCCAATCAGGAAGCCGGGTGCTGTGTAATGATGCATTGCCTGGCTTCCTGATTGGCCAGCTTCACAACCAAGCAGGAAGCCGGGCAGCGCTGCCCGGCTTGCTGATTGGTCAGAAAGCCGGCTCCATGCTCCCTCGTCACCAGGTGACGAGGGAGCATGGAGACGGCTTCCCTGCTAATCAGGAAGCCAGGCGGCGAGTCATTACACACCGCCTGGCTTCCTTAATGGGACTTCCGGAATTAGTATTCGGTATCGGCGAGTACCGGAAAAAAAATATCGGTACTTGTACTCGATACCAAAAAAACGGTATTGGTGCATCCCTAGATCAAACCCCAGGAAAGGTGCCAGTGATAGCACAGCCAGAGGGAACAGGGTAGTAATGGCTGAGATGCGGCCAGAAGAGTTCAGGTAAACCCCTGTGGGTACCCTCTTAGACACATGCATTGTCCTGGGGGTACTATGATAGGAGGACATGCATGAGCGTAGAGCGACGGAGAACATCACAGAAGGTGTTATTTCACAATGGGGACCTTCTGCTATCTCGGCATGTCACCATGTGTCATTGATATGCTGGCCATGCATGGAAATACATACTGGTGTATGTGAATAGATGAATGGGATAGCAGGATGGGTCTGGTAGGCAGATGATAAACAATGTTCATAGATGTAGCAAAAAGGGACCATGCAACAGTGTCTGTAACAATTCTTGCTCTTGTGTTACTCACTTCTCTCCTCCTCTCTCTCTGTATCTCCCTTTTTTTTTCCCCTCCCTGATGTGTCTTTCCCCCTGTCCTCCCTCCTTCTCCCCTCTTCTCCTCCCTCCTCCTCAGTGAGCTGCTCCCAGCTCTGGAATATCTCAGTGCCCTGCTAAGAGGCACACATCCATTTCAGCAGGACTGCAGTGAGATAGCTGCTGCCACTGCCCTGCATCTGTCTACTGCCCCCCCTCATCCCATAGCCCTCCCCTCTCTGCTCAGTCACTGGCTTTTCCCTCTTCATAAGTCACTCTGCCATCTGCACAGGAAGCAGCAGCTATACCCAGGGTCTCCCTGGCACTCTTCGATGGGGGGGTACGCTACTCCCAGCAAATTAGACAAGGACCAAGAGGATGGGTGGCATCGGCGTAACAGGCTGGGGGCTGAAATCTGAGGACGGTGGAAGGGAAGCTCAGAAGCTGCCACGGTTTTTTACTGCAAGCTCACTGAGGATCCTCTGTTCCCACCAGCAGCAATAGCAGCACTCTGCAGCAACACAGTGAGGAGGTGAGGACTGTGTGTGGACTGCAGTTACTGTGTCAGTGCCACATGGAGGGGCAGGGGGCAGAGCACTGGATGGCATCTTACATGCTCAGGGTCATACACCAGAAGTGTGCATGCATGGTACCGGCTATAGGTGGCTGACATATCCCTTTAAAAGTACTGCAAACTGCTCTACCTGGATGTCTGTCTATCCATCTGTCTGTCTGGGCAACTGAGAGCTTTCCACCAGTTGTGGTTCCATCAGAACCCCTTCCCCCTGTCTGCCTGGGTATCACATTGGAAATTCCTGACTGTCCGGCAGACGTTGTAATAGATGTTCCAGCATATGTAATTTGTCTATCTATCTATCTATCTATCTATCTATCTATCTATCTATCTATCTATCTATCTATCTATCTATCTATTATCCGTAGTATTATTATAATCAGTATTATCTATCTTCTGTATCTATCTATCTACCAGCTTTTCTATCTGCTCTGATTGTCCAGCAGCTGTTGTACTACATATTCCAGCATAACTCCCTGCATATCTATCTATCGATCTATCTATCTATCCAGCTATCTATATTCTATGTTTTCAATTTGTGATTTAATACTCTAAGATTTGTGTCTTGTTTTAATTTTTTATTTTATGTTTATGAATGAATACAGACCTTAGCCCAAATCTAATGATATCTATCTATCTATCTATCTATCTATCTATCTATCTAATCTTCTGAAGCCCCTTGGGATAGTTGAGTGCCGGTCCTGGCACACCTGTACATAGGTATAAGCTGCACTTGTATTAAGCTCTGGACTCATTCAAGATTGCTTAATAAGGCAGCGCATAGAGTCATGATTGTGTGTAAATTTTGGTAACCCATAGAAATTACATTCCAACTTTTATCATCTTACAAAACAATGTGATATGATTGGTCAGTCATGGTCACCACTCTGGGCACCATACACTTTGCCTTATTGAATATAGTTTTTGTCCTCAGCTGTACTTCCCTTGCAAGTGGCTGCCAAACCAACCTGCGGAAAGTGATAATTAATTCCAATAGTTCACAAAATAAAACAATGTGAAATAGTGTTTCCCTTGTCGACTGGAATAGTTGCATAAGAACGCCGGGCAGTCCGTTTAAACAATTCAGTAATGATTTTGATCACATCGATCATTTTCTGTTTCGGCTTAGTGTTTGCACAGCATTCAGCCGGATTGCAGAAACAGTGTTTCACTGCAAATGTTAATACCATCAAAACCATGTCCAGTAAAATAGCTGATAAAAAATAATCTGATCATTTGGTGTGCGACAGGTCTGCTTTTGGCTTGTAAGGGTCAGAGCTCCCAAAAGGTTCTTTTAAGTCCCTGGGACTACAATGGTGAGATTACCGCACTTGAGTTGCCAGCTCCGCCCACCTACTGTGCCCATTACTTTCCCCACTTTCCCTGTTGGGATTTTCTTTGACATTATATTTTACAGAATGCGGCAGGAGAACGAGGCCAAAGAGCGGGACCCCCCCTGGGTAATACAAGTTAGAAACTGTGATGGGAGATCTCACGATGGGAGGTCTCCAAGGAGATAAAACTAACCAACGCATAGCTCAACATGAAGTTTTAAAATGTTATCACTGGATGGAATGACCCTTTAGGGTACGTTCACACCAGTTGCAGTGCGTTCCGGCCCAATTCTGGCCGGAACGCACTGCCTCGCATTGCGGCCGGCTCACTTTTTAGCGGGCAGGAGGGGGAGTGGCGGGCCATTGAAGTGAATGGCACCGAAGTGAATGGCACCGTAGCCACGCCCTCCGGCCGCAATGCAATCGCCTGCATAGAATCGCAAGGCACATTGTGCCTGGGGTCAGGTCCGGATCGATCAAAATAGTGCTTGCAGCATTTTGATCATCTCCGTGCACAGAGGCAGAGCCAGCTGTCAATCAGGTGGCAGGATGGATCCCCCACAATGTTGTCAGAATCCGTCCCGGCTGCAGCGCGGCTCTATGTATATGTCCTCCTGTGACCCTAAAGAGAACTATGGCAAAAAAAGGTTGGGCCATAGTTCTCTTTTAAAAAAAGAACTCTGGGCAAATAAAATGTTAACCCTTGCAGTGGGGCTACCCCAGCACTGCAAGGGTTAAGTGCCAGTTTTATCTGGGGAGCTAAAATAACAAAGTTATACTGACCCGAACCGCGATCTGGGCTGGGTCCTACCCCGCAGTCCTCGCGTCCTATACACTGTATAGAATATGATGACTCAAACTGGTCTCAAACTTAGACTGGTGGAGTGGAGGATGAGCTAGGCTGAAGTGGCCAGTTTAAGAGCAAGCCGGGATTGCAGTTCGGATAAATCTAACTTTGTTATTTTAGATCCTTAGACAAAATGAGCACCTAAACCCTTGCAATGCAGGGGTAGCCTCACTGCAAGGGTTAAGATTTAATTTGCCCGGAGTTCTACTTTAAGAATCAATCACCCCATTGTTTCATCGTATGTGATAAAATTCAAATAATTCTACACAATGTTACAAACAAATAATACGGAATGTTACATTTTGCCCAGCTATATGCATGTATGTGTTTATAATTTATTTGCAGTATTGAGTAAATACTCCGAGTATCTTGTCCCGAAGTAAACAGAGACAATAGTTGTTGACCATGCATGATAAAATCACACGTGTTGGACTTATCAGTAAAGTGCAGTAACTGGCTGTATTAAACCGGCATTTGTTTTTTAATGCTACTGCAATACAGTGAAATCCGGTTGCTTTGGGTTACTACTCAATGCACACCAGCAAAGGCAATCGGCAAAGCATGAAGTGCAGAACCACAGCAACTAATAAGCAGTCGGCTTTCACTGCTCTGTCTGTTCTATAAGGATGAAAGGTGACATCTAGTTGTGTTGGGTGACCACAATTTGCACTTTATTAGATAAGGGCACCTTGCTTTGACAAATGAGATAAAGACGACAGCTGCTGCAATGCACCTTGTTTCGGAAAACAGGGGCATCGATAATTGGTAGGCAGAAAGAAGTATCGATGGGTAACGCCTGCAACAAGACAGTAGCATAGAGACTACCCAACTGTGAAGAGAAAACAGATGGACTTACACACACAAGAGGCCACCTGGTGCTGCTGCAGAGGTGGGCCAGACCCATGAATCGGGCTGTTAGAAGCAGCTAATTACCCAGTCTGCAGGACAGATTCTCTTTTTAATGATTCTACTTCATATCGCTACAAGAGAGGTGACGGCATTGAAAAGTTTGAGGTCATCGAACTCGGCAGTCACTTGGCTAGGAATCTGTCACACACAATGTGGGTCACCAGTATCATCGACCTACCCTGGGCAATTTGAGGAGGTGATCAGTAGCTTCTGCATATTTCCCAGATACCCCTTAGTTGGAGAAACCGTCCCTTTTTTCTCATTCTTCCTCAAATGTCCTCTTTTGGTATATAGATCTGTAAAAATAAATGTATTATTTAACTGATGAAGTTATAAGGATTGCACAAAACGTTTCATCCATCCCTTATATTATTGTATTGGTTATTTTTAAATACTAATATCATGGAAATGTAAAGTGGGGATAAAGCCCCACTGGGTTTAAGTGACCATTTTTGTGCTTTCATTTCTCATGGCCTGTGTGACTGGGGGGTGGCAAGAATGTATCGGCTGCAGTTGCATATCCAGGGTATGGCATATATGGCACATGCTCTGGGTGCCACTTGAAGGAGGGGGGGCGCTGCTCCATGGGTCATCAAAAGTTCGCCAACCCACGGAGACATCTGACCTTTTCTCTCCATGTCCCGCTCCCATATACAACTCCACGCCCGGTTCTTAGCTGGCATCCTACCCAGCCCCTGACAACCAGTGACTTCACTGATCTCCAGCATCCGGGCGGGATGCCAGCCAGAGAGTGCCAGGTTGCTAAGAAGCAAGTGGGGAGATGTGTAAGAGCCATGCACAACTCCCCACCTGGCTCTTAGAAACCAGAGCGAGCGGGAAGATGTCTAATGGATGGTACACCAGTCAGAACGTTCTGGGTTGCTAAGAGCCAGGCGTGAATATGTACTGTATATGACCCTTACACATTTCCCCACCCAGCTCTTAGCAACCTGGGACACTCTGGCTGACATCCCGCCCAGCTCCTGGCAACCAGTCATTGGTTGCCGGGAGCTGGGCGGGATGCCAGGAGTGCAATTTCTTGTAGATATGCCTCTGTTCGGCTGCCTAAATATTAAGTGCTGAAGGGTGTCCCTCTTTGCTATTTTAGATGGTTGGGAGGTATGGCTGCTGTCGAATACAGAAACTCAGTTGAATTATTGAACATGGAAAAAAGTCTGTTTGTTGCATATCAACCAATCAGTTTTTACTTCCACCCTGGCAACAAGCAATTAGGAACCCAGCATTAGAGTTTGAATTCCTCAGTAGAGAAATGCAAAGAGCAAACCAGCCAAATTGTATTTTACTGAAGTTACAGGTTTAACAGACCTAAACATATTTCCCTTGGAAACTCTGAACTTTGCTCTTACTTCTTGAGTAAACCTGTTGACATCTATGTTGTAGTTCACTTGGGATTTCTATATTGGAGATAACTGCACTTTCCTTCCTAGATACATACTTTCTTATGCAGTAGATTCCCATATGTTCCGACAGGACAATTTTCGGATGTAGAAGGCAATTATAAGGCAGCCTAATACAACCCTGTGGAGGCTATTGTGTTGGTGCAGCCAGGGCATTTAACTCTTTACTTTCTTGAATGAACCTGTTGACGACCACGTTGTAGTCTACATGAGATTTCTATATAAAGGATAAGTGCACTTTCCTCTCCAGATACATACCTATTGCAGTAGCTTTCCATAGGGTTCTACAGTACCATCTGCAAAGATGGGACACATTTGGAAGCTGGCGTGATACAACCCTATGGAGGCTACTGTGTAGGCACAGCTAGTGCATTTAAAGTGATACTAAAGTCAGGAGTTAAATCTTAAGAATGCATTCAGGTACATTAACTTTTAACAGAAATGTATCTG